AATCTCCTATTAAAATATTCTTACCTTAATTAGCAGGGGAATCAGTGGTACCTTCAACCTCACTAACCACTGAAGTACACTCGTTCTGGAGAACAGAGAATCGATTTCCTACCTTCACATCTTCTCTATTAACTCTCCTTATCTTCCTTCTATCTGAACTGTGAACCACTTGCCACCTGGGGATCAGTAATGATTGGCGTTCCACAGGGATCAGTCTTGGGCCCGTTGTTGTTTATAATATATATCAATGATCTTGATGAAGGAATTACTAGTGATATGAGCAAATTCGCCGATGACACAAAGATAGGTAGGAAAATTGATTCAAACGTAGATGTTAGGGAACTTCAGGAGGATTTAGACAAACTCTATTCTTGGTCAGAAAAGTGGCAGATGCAGTTCAATGTAGATAAATGCAAGGTTCGGAAGCTCGGGAGTGTCCATAACCCTAGCACTTATAAGTTAAATAATGTAGAACTTAGCCATACAGATTGCGAAAAGGACTTGGGGGTTATGGCAAGCAGCAACCTTAAACCAAGACAGCAATGTGGAAAAAGACACTTATGTACAGTTCAGGACATTTATTAAAGGAAACGTTTCGCCACGAGTGGCTTCAGTCCTATTAGGACTGAAGAAGCCACTCGTGGCGAAACGTTTCCTTTAATAAATGTCCTGAACTGTACATAAGTGTCTTTTTCCACATCTTGTTGGTATCACCATACCATTTCCTCAAGACAGCAATGCCTGAGTGTACGTAATAAGGCAAATAGATTACTGGGATTTATATCAAGAAGTGTAAGCAACAGAAGTCCAGAGGTCATACTGCAGCTTTATACATCATTAGTAAGGCCTCATCTAGATTATGCAGCTCAATTCTGGTCTCCATATTACAGAATGGATATAAATTCGTTAGAAACTATTCAGCGTAGGATGACTAAATTAATACATAGCATTAGAAATCTTCCTTATGAAGAAAGATTCAAGACTCTTAAGTTGCATTCACTTGTTAGACGAAGAATGAGGGGAGACCTGATCGAAGTGTATAAGTGGAAGATAGGTATTAATAAAGGGGATATTAATAAGGTCTTGAGGATGTCTCTCCAAGAGAGAACCCGCAGTAATGGATTTAAATTGGATAAGTTTAGATTTAGAAAGGACATAGGAAAGTATTGGTTTGGAAATAGGGTAGTTGATGAGTGGAACAGTCTACCTAGTTGGACATCAAAATGGTATACAATACCGACAGGTTGTTAGGTAAGACACATATGCAACAGTTAGACAACTTTATTCCGAAACGTTTCGCCTACACAGTAGGCTTCTTCAGTCGAATACAGAAAATAGGCAGGAACAGTAGAGATGTGAAGACGATGTAATCAGTCCATCACCCTTGTAGTCGTAGAATTTGAGGTTGTCAGTCCCTCGGCCTGGAGAAGTTCAGTTCCATAGTCAGGAACTATCTTCAGATAGTATTCGACTGAAGAAGCCTACTGTGTAGGCGAAACGTTTCGGAATAAAGTTGTCTAACTGTTGCATATGTGTCTTACCTAACTACCTAGTTGGGTTATTGAGGCTAGGACTTTGGGTAGTTTCAAATTTAGGTTGGATAAGTACATGAGTGGGAGGGGTTGGATTTGAGTGGGACTTGCACATCAGAGCTTATTTCTTGGGTAGCATTGAAAATTGGGTTGGGCAAATGTTTTGTTAGTGGGATGAATTGTAAAGGACCTGCCTAGTATGGGCCAACAGGCCTGCTGCAGTATTCCTCCTTTCTTATGTTCTTATGTTCTTATGTTCTTAAAGCAGCTGCCACTCTCACTTCTGATGACCATTTCCTCCTTACCAGGTAAATTCATCTCACACTCACTCCCAAACCCATCTATGCAAAGCTTCAGCTTCCTATTTTCTTCCTGAAGAAGTGGAATCTCTTCCTTTAACACTTTAACCTGAGATTCTAAAACACTACAACAAGCCATGGTGCTTGGTAACAGCCCACACAAACTCCCAAGAGCTTAGGCAGGTATGACCACACGTGACCACTGACCTCAGCGTATACAATTACAATAATAAAGTTGGTAGAATTACCGACAATATGTAAAGTAAAAGGACACAAGTGCAACTAATGTGACATTTATTGTGGCAACGTTTCGCTCTCCAGGAGCTTTATCAAGCCATTACAAACAATACATGGACACAGAGGGTATATAAAGGCTCAGAGTGAGGTGAATACTAGTGAGGTACCATTTCGATGTTCACTAGTGGTAGTAGTAGTAGTAGTATTAGTGGTAGTGACAAAAGTAATACAATATGGTAGAGCAATTAATTCGTACATGAGTAAAAGGATATAAAAGCTATTACATGGGTAACATAAAAATAGGTTGGACAAATATAAACTGGAATGAGGCAGCTTGTTTCAGTGTTCACTCTCTGTGCTATGTGTAGTATAACAGGAGAGACTATGTGATGGCAGGGTTTACTGTTTTCAGGAGGATTCTTGCTAAGACTTCGGAGATGGTGAAGCTGCCGTTGTTTTGTTTAATTGTATTCGAAACAGCGATCAGTGCTGATTCAAGGCACTTGCGTGTGCGGAAATTAGTTTCTTTTATCACTAATTGGGCGTCTCTGAATTTCATAAGATGAATGGTGGAATTTCGGTGTTGTACACAGGCGTATATGTGTTCATTGAGGCGGGTGTCGAGGTTTCTTGCTGTTTCACCTACGTAGATCTTGTCACAGCCTCCACAGGGTATAGTGTAAACTCCTGCATTGACTGGTTCGTGGTGCTTGGTTATTGTCCTGGTTAGATCCTTTATTGAAGTGGTAGAAGCGATGGCGACTCTGGTGTTAGCTTGTGAAAGTACTTTTGAGACGTTTAGTGCAACCTGGCTGTTGGGAAGAAGTATAACTTTGTTGGGAGCGGTGTTGGTGCGTGGAGAATTGATGATCTGAAGAGCTCTTTTCTTGCAGTCTTTGCAGTCTTATACATGGAACACCTAGAGTCCGAACACTTCGCCAACATCATCCCTTCAAGCGTCACTTGGTTACGTTACGTGGACGATGTCCTCGTAATAACTCCAAAACGTTTTGATGTACGGGATCTTCAGACAAGGCTCAACGCAGTTGAACCAGCGATTCAGTTTACACTAGAAGAAGAGTCCAATAACAAGCTACCTTTCCTCGACGTCCTCATTCACAAAGTAGACAACAACCTAAGATTTCAAGTTTATCGGAAACCCACCAATAAAAATGATCTCACACACTTCTATTCCAGTCAAGATACCAAGACCAAAAGAGGCATCATCATCGGGTTTTTCCTAAGAGCATACCGAATTTGTAGTCCTGAGTTTCTCGACGAGGAATGTACTTACATTCACCAAACATTCACTGAGTTACAATTTCCTTCTTTTTTCATCAAAGACTGCAAGAAAAGAGCTCTTCAGATCATCAATTCTCCACGCACCAACACCGCTCCCAACAAAGTTATAATTCTTCCCAACAGCCAGGTTGCACTAAACGTCTCAAAAGTACTTTCACAAGCTAACACCAGAGTCGCCATCGCTTCTACCACTTCAATAAAGGATCTAACCAGGACAATAACCAAGCACCACGAACCAGTCAATGCAGGAGTTTACACTATACCCTGTGGAGGCTGTGACAAGATATACGTAGGTGAAACAGCAAGAAACCTCGACACCCGCCTCAATGAACACATACGCATGTAGGAACGACAACTTAAACAACGCCTGTGTACAACACCGAAATTCCACCAATCATCTTATGAAATTCAGAGACGCCCAATTAGTGATAAAAGAAACTAATTTCCGCACACGCAAGTGCCTTGAATCAGCACTGATCGCTGTTTCGAATACAATTAAACAAAACAACGGCAGCTTCACCATCTCCGAAGTCTTAGCAAGAATCCTCCTGAAAACAGTAAACCCTGCCATCACATAGTCTCTCCTGTTATACTACACATAGCACAGAGAGTGAACACTGAAACAAGCTGCCTCATTCCAGTTTATATTTGTCCAACTATTTTTATGTTACCCAAGTAATAGCTTTTATATCCTTTTACTCATGTACGAATTAATTGCTCTACCATATTGTATTACTTTTGTCACTACCACTAATACTACTACTACTACTACCACTAGTGAACATCGAAATGGTACCTCACTAGTATTCACCTCACTCTGAGCCTTTATATACCCTCTGTGTCCATGTATTGTTTGTAATGGCTTGATAAAGCTCCTGGAGAGCGAAACGTTGCCACAATAAATGTCACATTAGTTGCACTTGTGTCCTTTTACTTTACGTATACAATTACAGAACGAAGCTCAAGCATGCTTGGTGTTATTGAGGGAGTCTTAGTAACAAACTATAAGCCATCTCCCAAAGGCTCATTATGACGTCATCGAACAAACATTTTCAGTAACAGTCAATTTGCATCAAGCGTCACCGCCAACCAAACACGCATCAAGGGGTACCAACAGCTAGATTTATAATGCGATAACAACATTAGACTAAGTAAATAGTGCACATGATTTGTAATATTTGTAAAAATGGCCAAATTAGTGGCCACATTTGCATAATTGGCCAAACTTATTTTTTTCATGGCTGCATAGCTCAAAAAATGGCCAAATTTCACATATTTGGAGGTGAAATGGCCTATCTGCAACCCTGCACTGAAGTGTGGCATGATGGGGAGGAATGGAGGAAGACGGGCTCCAGTACACTACGTCATCACAAGCTCTGCCCACTTTTCTCAAGGCGGAAACGCAAGTGAAGTGTATACACCAAAATCTCATGTATAGATTTTTTGGCATTGGAAATGTATAGATCTTTTTGCAACCACTGTATAGTCACTGAAATGGGAATCTATGGCACCTTTAAATATAGGTAGGACAAATAAATGTGTGGGAGAGAGCTGCCCCTACCTACATGGGCCTGTAGGCCTGCTGCAGTGCTCTTCTTTCTTGTATTCTTATATTTAGATGTTTCCTCAGGTGCATTTGGGCCAGCGTTTGGTCTCATTGCCATGTGTTTCGTCAACTGCGACAAGAGTCTGGCTATGGGAGTGTTGTGTGTGGCAGTCGGACTCAATGGGGCCGTCTACAGTGGCTATATATCCTCCCTTCAGGACCTCTCCCCTAACTTTGCAGGTTCCCTCTTGGGCCTCAGCAACACAGTGGCAACTATACCTGGATTCGTCGCACCAGTGGTCACCGGCAGCATTACTGATGGCAACGTGAGTGAGTCGTGTCTATGTGTGATTACTTATTTTTAGGTGTAGAAAATATCAGTATATTCCAGAAGCTTTAAGCCCAACCCCCAGGAAGGAGAATTTAGGGAAGGGGGTACGACGCCTAGAGAGGTGTCAATTCTGTATATACTTAATTACTAAGAATTAGCCACGTAACTCCTAGGCTAATTATATATTCTACAATTACTACAATACTAACATTACTACCATATATATTTAAGCAAAGTTAGAGATAGTTGTTAGCTTACTGTAGTATTATACGTCCCTTACATTATTTAAGCCGTGGGCACCTTCAGCCCGCTAGTCTGAGTGTCCATGGGGCAAGCTGGGCCGAGGGAAGTCAGTCTCATTTCAGTAGTGAAACTGACGACTACCCCTTCACGAACTTTGCACGTTGAATACAGTATACATCACGATCACCGCAAGCAAGGGTCTCATTAGCTGAACCAGGCAGTTGTGTGATTCAACAGGTATTTCTCAGGTATCACCCGCCCCCATCACTACCACGTGAGTATTGTGAATGCATTCAGGTGTACACATGTGTAGAGGTGACACCCGACATTCAGAGATTACCATATCAACTGCCTATTTCAACCACACTGCCTACTATGAGGAATATGGTCAGTACCCCATTAATAACAAAAAAAGGCACAATACCGTGATTGGAACGATACACAAATAACCCGCACATAAAAGAGAGAAGCTTACGACGACGTTTCGGTCCGACTTGGACCAATGGTCCAAGTCGGACCGAAACGTCGTCGTAAGCTTCTCTCTTTTATGTGCGGGTTATTTGTGTACAGTACCCCATTGATTGAATAACCCCCGAAGTGGAGCAGCAGACTTCAGACTAAATTCACGACTGAAACAAGGGACCCCACACATTGCCTTAATTTCCCATAATAGTTATAGAGCCAAGTGGTATTACCTCGTCTTCAAATTTTAATTTCTTAATGGATGTTTCAGTGAATAATGTTTTAGGATATTTCTTCAGTGTATTCGTATCTTTTTGTATAGTCTTGTTGTCCATGCCAGTAGCTAAAGGAATATTTCTAATAAATTTCTAATCAAGAATCTTCACACAACTCTTTGGCTGACAAGTTCACTCCCCAATTTCTGTTGACATTTACTCCATCCATTCTGAGATCCAGTCTTTCATCCCTAGCCTAGAGTGTTCGTCATTCACATCACCTTGTTCTTTCCTGTGTACACATTTAATTTCCTTTTATATACCCTTTCAAAATCCTCCACCAACATTGGAAACTTCTTTTAAGAATCTCCCATATGAACCGTGTCATCAGCAAACATCAACTGTGTTAACTTCTACTTGTATTAAATGCATTATCTTTTCATCCCACATCTTTCCCCAGGATCATAGTGTTCATTTCCTTTACAATCCTATCTTTGAACATGTAAGAAAAACATTGGCGAAATTGAACATCATTTAAGACCCTCTTTCACAGGAAAATAATCACCTCGCCCGTACATACCCTAATCTAAGCCTCACCATCCACACAAAAAATTGGTGCTTCTTATAGTAACCTACCTTTTCTTGTCCTTGGCCTCTCTACATTCTCGATTAAAACAAAGGTTCTCTTTGTATTTCCTGCACCTTTTTACGGTATCTACAGCTCTGTCATACAATTCCATTTCAAATTCCACTTCACAGAAAACTTCGTGTGCTATCAAGTCCAGTTTTCTATAACATCCTCAGATTTTTTTCTCATTACCCCTTTATAGCAGGTACGTAAAGCTTATGTACTGTTCAGGACATTTATTTGAGGAAACGTTTTGCCACGAGTGGCCTCTTCAGTCGATATTTTATACCACTGTTATATTCACACACTGCAACGTAACGGTATCTTAGTACAGAGGACATCTTTGATATCTTTTTTCCCTAACCACTAATTACGAGTGAGAAGGGTTGAATTTAACAAGGACCTACCCAGTAGGTTTGCTACCCAGTCACTCTACTGTCCTGCCGTCAAACATATGCGCCGCACCTTTGACATTATATTAGTCTCTATTCTGTTACTTCAGTATCACATTGTTCCACACTATGATGGAGAACGCTTCTCCAGGCTGAGGGACTGACCACCTCATAACTACGTCATCGAAGGTGGTGGACTGATTACATCGTCTTTACATATCTTCTGCTTCTGCTGGTTCCTCTGTATTCTGATTGATAAATTAGACACATGTGCAACTCTTGGGTATCTTTATTGAGGAAACGTTTCGCCACACAATGGCTTCATCAGTCCATACAAAGGAGAATCTTGAAGAACAGGAGGAGAATGAGGTAATCAGTCCCTCAACCTTGAGTCGATGTGGTCAGTCCATCAATCTTATTCTATTCAAGATTGATGGACTGACCACATCGACTCAAGGTTGAGGGACTGATTACCTCATTCTCCTCCTGTTCTTCAAGATTCTCCTTTGTATGGACTGATGAAGCCACTGTGTGGCGAAACGTTTCCTCAATAAAGATACCCAAGAGTTGCACATGTGTCTAATTTATCAACATGTCGGTTCTCTGAACCATTCATCTACAAATCCTCTGTATTCTACTGAAGAAGCATACTGTGTAGGCGAAACGTTTCGGAATAGTCACCTAACAACAGATAACCAAGAACGAGTATATATAGTGGTGGACTCACCCCTTCTCTGTGAATATCCTGCACTTATACCAAGATTGATGGACTGGACATATCGACTCCAGACTGAGGGACTGATTATATATAATTACCTCAAACTCATTATCGTCCACCGTTTCCCTGCCCTGGACTGATGAAGCCACTGACTAGAGAAACGTTACCAAAATAAAGATTTCCAAGAGTTGCACAAGTGTCATATCCATCATCTTGTAGGTTTCCTAAGCCATTTATTCAAAGAAGCTTCATGCCTGGAACCTCCACTACCCAAGAAGCTCTGTTGAGTCAGGACAGCATGGAAAACCCCAACTGTCCAACCTCCAGCATCAAGTGTAGCACCCACCACTGAGCCTTGTTCAGAATAGGCTCAAAGGGGCACAGCAAGCCTTGCTGTGCCCTATCAAATGATGTCAACAATCACTTGCTTCACCGAGGTCATATGTGACCTGATAGACTCGGTATAAAACAAAGAGATATTCTGAACCATTGTGAAGATCTTAAATATATGCGTGTTGGAAAAAGGAGAATCCATCCATTATATCTGAAAATGTACTCGACCACCCAACACAAGCGAAAGGGGGCGGCCTTTTAGTAATTTATATGGAGGGGGTAACTAGTCCTTTATTCCTATCATTTTAGTCTCCTTAACCTGCTACCCTACGTGTTTGTGAAACAGAGAGAAAACACACCAGCATTCCTACCAGACCCAACCAGGGACTGATCACCACATATTAACCTCTCCAGTACTGCTTTGTTCATTTTTCAAACCACTTCTGAATACGAGTGAAGAAGCTTATTGTTCAGACTACACATTTCGACAATAAAAACACTCAACTACTACCCGTAACATAAATTTCTACTTATACACTCTGCCAGGCACTTACAAACTCTACTGATCACTTGCACACTGCCAAATATTCCCACATTCCACCAAACTCTCACACGCCAATGAATCCTTCCTAATTTCACAGAACACTCACATTCGCTCTACCAGAGTTTTCTTGTCTAAATTAAATATTACCTCCCATCCTTCAGGAAACAGTGAGTGCATGGAGGACCGTCTTCCTCATCTCATTAGGAACGTATCTGGTCACTAACATCTTCTATGTGGTCTTCATCTCCGCTGACATCCAGCCTTGGAATGAGCAACACCCCAAAAACGTCCCGGACCAGAATTACAAACCCCCTAGTGTGGTTCTGGAACAGGAGGAGGAAGGCAAGTTTTTTCTGTTTTGTTACACTGCACTTACTTTACTTCACTTACTTATTTAGAGTGTCAACACAAACTCTCTCTCGATTTTTTTTACCGTATCAAACTTCTGTACACTCTTTGTCAACACTTTTTCTTTGCCTCCTTTACTCCTACTGTCAATACTGACTCTCCCTTCTTTACTCCCTCCGTCAACACTAATTCTCTCTTTTTTTACCCCTTCTGTCGACACTGCTGTTCTCCTCACTCTCTTCTCTCTCTGCTGAAAAAAGTGCAACGTTGGTTTGATTAGGATAGTAGCAAAATATTCACCTGTGACTTTCTACTCCCTGCGTTAACAGGGTTTTTTCCCCTGAGTAAAAATATTGAAAAGACATAAGAGTGAGAAAGCATTGAACAACAAAATATACGCAGTCACGAACAACACAAGATATGCTTAAGAAAAATCTAGATAAACTTGAAATGTTTTCAGATGTGATATTAATAAATAATACAGACAGGTTATTGAAAAGCTTTTGACATTTGGGATTATAATGTAAAAGAACATAAAAAGGGAAAAAAAAAAATTTCGACGTTGTAAATCTTGTACTTACAAAAAATAAACATTTCTCTTCTAAGGTCTCTTCCCATTCTCACAGCAGACATAGACAAAATAATAATACTCTGACACATTTCATATATAAAGGAAGTCTTCCAATCAGCCATAAAATCAATTATTTGAAGAAGACAAATTAAACAGCTACATTGTAGAGATATTTATGAAATAGAAACAGGAAAAGAATATAACGTTCGGTTGTTGTTGTTGTAGATTCGCCAGTACTTTTGCCGGCCAGGGTCTTTCCCAGATCATGATCCGGCTCTGGCTTCCAGGAATGGGAGTGTCTTGAAGGACATGCCAGCTGTGCAGCATCTGGTGATGCGAGGAAGGCTGAGGAAGCTGCTCAGCAGCAGACAGTGTTAGGAAGGGTCGAAAAAACAACAATTATAAAGTTCAATGAATCTACACCCTAGCTTTGGGTCATGCCAGAGCGCTGGGAAATTCAGCTTCACGGTGATTGATCTGGGTCGCTGGTAAACTTCACAGTTCCATCATTGACTAGTTGGTAGAGCTCTTGGCAGAACATACTGTCTTTGTGTTGGTCAGTAGTGTAGAACTTGACGCCAGGCAATGATTCATACTCCAGCGATTTTAGCAACCTGTGTAGGTGTAAGGGCTGGAGGTGTTTTTTTGGTAGCAGTGGGAGTAGTGGCAGATGGTTCACCGGTGGTGGTGGCGTTGGTAGCAGAGGAAGGTGGCGTGGTAGTGGTGGATGCTTCAGTTGGTGACGGAGTTTTGACTTTCGTGCTTGTTGATTGGCCCGGTTGGTGTGAGGTCTCTCACTGATCTGTTTCCTTGATGGAGGAAGGCAGAGGATGCATCTCATTGGTGGGATTTTGAGGTGGCTCGTCACATGTAGTCGATGGTGGTGGTGGAGCTGCTTGAGAGTGACTTGCAGGTATTGAGACATTGATGCTATTTGTGGAGGTCTTGATTATATCTGAAGAAGATGGAGAATCCGGGAATGTAAAATCAGGTATGTTGTCGAGCCTGAAGAGTTTGTTGATGGTGGTGTTGAATGATTCAGGTATAGCTTGGTTGTACACATGCTCATGCATTATGCAGTAGAGGATTTTTGTGGATTCATCGGCAGGAACTGGCGGCAATATATTGCTGGTGGAGGATGAAGTTTGAGTGGCTTTGAGTATTTTGAAGGTGTCTTCTTATAGTTTAGTAATTGCAGCGTATGTTGGAGATTCTGCAGTTGTTTTCTGTTGCTGGTGTGGTGCTCATTCTTGCAGTTTAGGCATTTAGGAGGAGTGGTGGTGGTGGTGCAAGCCTTAAACTTATGTCAATCGTTGCCGAAGGTCGAGCAGAACTTCTAATCCTTGGCAGGACAATCCTTCGTGATGTGCGCATAAGAGTAACAGCTGTAACACTGTGTGATGTGCTGGAATCTCTAGGTTTCAATGTAATTTGAGTTGATATGGATGTAATGGATTGCCAGTCCATCAGCGAGAGCGTGGGTAGCCATGCTGTCATCAGCGAGAGCGTGGGTAGCCATGCTGTCATCAGTGAGAGCGTGGGTAGCCATGCTGTCATCAGTGAAGGGGACGTTGTGCATTGAAGAAGCGTTGGGTATTTTGGTAATAAGTTCCACAGTGGTCCAAAGGGTCCTGGTCTTCTATTGACGATTTAATTTCTTCAATAGCCTGGGTTATAATGAGCTTATCCAGTCGTTTAAGGAACACATTTTCTTGGCTCTCAAAGTTAGGGAAGTCATGACTTGAAATACTCGTTGGTTAAGAGTGGTTGTAGCGTCAGTGGTGATAAGTTTCTCAGCCTCGATGTCGTCAGTACAGACTTCAACGAAAGCCTCTTGGGGCGATAAAATCCCATTATATTTTACATGCAAAATGTCTCTAACGGCAGGTTCAAGTGCTAATTTGGACAAGTCATTGACTATCCCGCTTGTGGGTTTAATCTTCACTCGGTTTGAGAAATGAATGGTGCAAGATGACACAGAAGTTCCCCTACCAACCGGGGGATCGCAGACATACGATGTGTGTTGTGTTGTAATGTTCGGTATAGGTTTGCAGCGTTCTTAAATTTCGGTGTTAAAGATTTGAAAACAGTTAGAAGGGCATCCACAAGTTATTTCAAGAAATACAATATCCCCATTTCATCACTATAAACAGAAAATTGACACCTACACAACTCAAAAAGAATTCTCAGAAAACAGCAATGAAAGTTTAAAATTATTGAGAAGAATCAGCATTTTGAAGCTGCTCATGACCAGGTTTTCAAGATATCATCAATGAAGATTTGAAAGATTATCAGATTTATTCACAAACGGTTGTATGAAAACCATTATTGCAATTTTCTCAATTACCTCAGTACATCTCATAAATTATCACCTACTCAAGACAAAATTAATCAAAGCGTACCCGTTATTAAGACACACCAGAGATTAATGTTCCAAACTGATCACCAGAGGCAGTGTCCCGTCTCTGTATGGAAACTAACTTATTAACACCCAGAATCAGTACATACGTTTTGTTACAAAAAAAAAAAAACTGTTACAAATTTAAAGCTGATTAGAAAGATGTTCTCTAATTTTCTCACAAACATCTTTTCAAAGGATGAAACAGCCATTAAGAAGTACTCATATCTTTTTTTTATTATTCTTAACACATTGGCTTTTACCAGCGGAGGTAAGGTGACCTGATAAAGAAGAAACACTTTCATCATCATTCACTTCAACACTGTCTTGCCAGAGGACAGCCTACCTTACAGTTAAAAAAAAAACTGCTACATATCAACATCCCTCATTCAGCGCTCAGGCTGAGTACTTTTCACCTCCAGGACTCAAGTCCATCTAACTGGTTTCCCTGAATCACTTCGTAAACGTTACTTTGCTCTCATTCAAATGGTACCTGGAGGATACCTGGAGGTTATTCCGGGGATCAACGCCCCCGCGGCCCGGTCCACGACCAGGCCTCCCGATGGATCAGGGCCTGATCAATTAGGCTGTTACTGCTGGCCGCACGCAGTCCAACGTACGAGCCACAGCCCGGCTGATCCGGCACTGACTTTAGGAATCTGTCCAGCTCTCTCTTGAAGGCAGCCAGGGGATTATTGGTAATTCCCCTAATGCTTGATGGGAGGCTATTGAACAGTCTTGGGCCCCGGACACTTATGGTGTTTTCCCTTAGTGTACCAATGGCGCCCCTACTTTTAATCGGGGGCATTTTGCATCGCCTGCCCAGTCTTTTACTTTCGTAGGGAGTGATTTCTGTGTGTAGATTCGGGACCATTCCTTCCAGGATTTTCCAATTGTAGATTATGATATATCTCTCCCTCTTGCCTTCCAACGAGTACAAGTCAAGTGCTTCCAAGTGTTCCCAGTAGTTAAGGTGCTTGACAGAACTTATACGTGCAGTAAAGGATCTCTGTACACTCTCTAGATCTGCGATTTCACCTGCTTTGTATGGAGATGTTAATGTACAGCAGTATTCCAGCCTAGAGAGAACAAATGATTTGAAAAGGATCATTACTGGCTTGGCATCTCTCGTTTTGAACGTTCTCATTATCCATCCTATCATTTTCTTTGCACTTGCGATCGTGGAACTGTTGTGATCCATGAAAGTGAGATCCTCAGACATTACTACTCCCAGGTCCCTTACATTATTTTTCCGCTCTATTGTATGATCAGAGTCTGTAGTATACTCTGTTCTAGTTATTATCTCCTCCAGTTTTCCATAACGGAGTAGTTGGAATTTGTCCTCATTGAACATCATATTGTTTACCGTTGCCCACTGGAAAACTTTGTTTATATCTTCTTGGAGGTTAACCGCGTCCTCAGCAGATGACAGCCTCATGCAGATCCTAGTATCATCCGTAAAGGATGATACGGTGCTGTGATGTATATCTCTGTCTATGTCTGATATGAGGATGAGGAATAAGATGGGGGCGAGTACTGTGCCTTGTGGAACAGAGCTCTTCACTATGGCAGCCTCCGATTTAACTCTGTTGACCACTACTCTTTGTGTTCGATTTGTTAGGAAGTTGAAGATCCATCTCCCCACCATTTGCTTCCCCTCGCTCCTATCTTACACACTCACACACGTTTGCTCTGGAGTCCAAGCCCCATGCACAAAAAACTTCCTACACTCACTAAAAACAACAGACATAGCCCCACTCTACAAAGGTGGCAGTAAAACGAGTGTAAAGAACTACAGACCGATAGCACTAACATCCCATATCGTAAAAATCTTTGAGAGGGTTCTAAGAAGCAAGATCGCCAATCCTTATATACCCATCAATTACACAACTCAGAGCAACAGGGGTTTAGAGCAGGTCGCTTCTGCCTGTCCCAGCTATTGGACCACTATGACAAGGTCCTGGATGCTACAGAGGATAAACAAAATGCAGATGTAGTATACACAGAGTTTGTGAACACGGTGTA